GCCTTCTTTTCTCAAGACTAAACATGCACAGGATCATTCTGAAAATAATTGCCAAGAGTGGTCCAATACATACCCTCCTTGTGTGCGAATCAGGTTAAGTCTCTCCCGTGAGTGTCTAGCCTTGAACAGCAGGGCTTACTTAGGGGTGGCCCCCTCTCTCATCCTATTTGCCCCGCCTCTCCGGCATCACAAGGACCCACCCCCTTAGTCACAGGGTTCGTCCTTGAATGCTCAAGGCAGGAGATGTTGCCGGTCTAGCAAGCCTAGTTAGGCATCAGGTGGGAAACCCAAAGGCTGGATCCAACTTGGGTTGTGTGCTTTTCTACCCAAACAGCAGGAACAGTTTAAGGTGTTATGAAGGAGAAGATCACGGTTTACTGCTCTGCCTCAGGCAGCAAAGTGTCTTGAATGGGCCCTGCCGTGATCTGTTCTTATAACTGAAGTCTGGATACAGTATTCTCAAACAGAGGTGGGACACTGATGCTGAAGAACTACTATTCCCATTACGCCTCACTGCCAATCAAGCTGACTGGGAGCAATGGGCATTTGAGTACAATGCCATCGGGCCACATATTCCCTAGATGTGTTTTCAAATCTAGTGCAAACTCTGGACAAAATATCCAGATAAAAATTTAGAGTAAGTTATCTATCTATCTATCTATCTATCTATCTATCTATCTATCTATCTATCTATCTATCTATCTATCTATCTATCTATCTATCTATCTATCTATCTATCTATCTATCTGTCTGTCTGTCTGTCTGTCTGTCTGTCTGTCTGTCTGTCTGTCTGTCTGTCTATCACCAGCTTTCCTTCTTATCCATCCATCCATCCATCCATCCATCCCACCCCCTACAGCTTTAGAGCAACAGAAAAGAGCAATGTCCAGTTATTCCGAAGCAGGGCAGATTGCAGGTTGTGGTTGTTTTTTAAAATGTGGACACCCCAGATGTGCTGAACTAAAGGTCCAATTATAGACACCAGCAGGTAGAGGTGATCTGATTTTTGATCTGGCATTTCTGGAAGGTGTCAGGTCAAAGAAGGTTAGCTGGACTGTATTGGCGAAGGCTTTCACGGCCGGGATCTAATGGTTGTTGTGGGTTTTTCGGGCTCTTTGGCCGTGTTCTGAAGGTTGTTCTTCCTAACGTTTCTCCAGTCTCGGTGGCCATGGGCATCTTCAGAGGCCAGCACTGTCCTCTGAAGATGCCGGCGACAGAGACTGGCGACATGTCAGGAAGAACAACCTTCAGAACACTGTGGCAGCCCTCCCACAAGAAATATTCCAGGTAGTGAAAATTTGGGGGAGGCACTCCTTAATGGGAGAGAGGAGGAAAGAAGAAAAATATTGAATGATGGAGCACCTTCTTGTTATTTTTATTGCTTCCAATCCTGTTTCTGGTAGTTACCATTCGTTATAAAAACCACTAGATTTAGCTATCTGGTTGCAGAGTCTGAAGTCTGGCGTTTGATTCCCGACGATTGACCCCTTGATAAGGACTGGACTCCATGATGCATAGGGTCCCTTCTGCCTTTACAGTTCTTAGGTTATTAGAACGGCTGGATAACTCAGTGGTTTAGAGGAGAGGTTGGGAGTTCGATTCCCTGACTGGGCCTCCTTTAACAAGGGCTGGAGTCCATGATCTTAGGAGTCCCTTCCAGCCCTGCAGTTCTAAAATGCTGATGATAATGTTTTGTTATAATCATTTGGTTTTCTTTAATTAAAAAAATTAATTGATTTTACAGTATATTTTGGTTTCCGTATTTTGCTGTACATTGCCTAAAGTTAAAAGGTTTGCTAGATGGGCTGTATAAAATTCAATGAAAGGAAGAGAGAGAGAGAGAGAGAGAAAGCAAGCTAGCTAACTAACTTCTGGAGGGCTAAAGACATTACCTGTTTTCTTAAGTTGTAAAACAAAAAAAGTCAGTATTTGGAAAGGATTCTTTCATGGGCGATCCATTCCAGAATCCTTCCGCCATTCGGAGATTCTGGGAATCGTAGTGCAAAAAAGCCATTTTTCCCAACCACTCAAGGTTGTGTTAAACCCAGGCCAGGCGTCTGTTTTCGTTCCCACAATTTTGGAGCCCCCGCAGGGCAATTGACATGTCTGGGCTGATCCTTCAAGAGGGTCACCTTTTAACCTCTCCACCATCTCCTGGTTTTGGAAGAGAGGAATTTCCCTTTTCCCTTATCTGTGCTCCCTTTTCCTGTCATCAGAACTTCTGGGGAAAGTCTTTACAGGAAATGTCTCAAAACTACTCTTGCCCCCCCTAAACACACACTCAAATACAAAAGCGAGAAAACACACACACACACACCCACACACCCACACACACACACACACACACACGCACACGCACACGCACACGCACACACACGTACCTCTTCCGGAAGATCTAGAGCTGTTAAGGAGAGGGTGAGGAAGACGCCAGAGAAAGAAAAGTAGGAGGAAAGGGGGTGGGACCGGGAAGGAGGAGGAAGAGGAAGACGGAGGAGGTGATTTTTGGGAAAAGGGTGGAGGGAAGAAAAGAGAAAAAAGGGGCACCGTTGGTAACTGAGGGCTGGGCATCGGAGTTCTGGCGGCTGATCATATTACTTGCAGCCGTGGCAAAGTTAGGGTGTGCACACACACACAGAATACCAGGCCATAAAGAGGAGGAAAGGAACTAAAGTGTGTGTGTGTCTGTGTGTCTGTGTGTCTGTCTGTGTGTGTGTGACAGAGAGAAAAAAATGAGGGACGAATAAATTAAAACCATTTGTTGGGGGGAAAACAGGCCTGCGCACAAACGGCTCACCATCTCTCTTGAATTCATCATGCAAATGACGCTCAAGGAACCCACAGCTAATCCTGCCCGGATTTTGGAAAAGTCCTCCTCGGGGCACTACAACTCCCACCATCCCTTCAGCGCTGGAAGGAAGGGCGGTGTGATACTTTTATCAGATTACTGAAAAATCACAAACGTATGCTTGGAATACCGCACGGGTCTCCATCGGACGGGCAGCACAGAGCTAGGGGTGGTGCAGAAGAAGGGTTCTCCCAATCGTGGCCAGGTGAGCGGGCCAGGTTCTTTTGCTGAAAGCCAGAGGCTGGGGGATTTGGGGCACTGTAGTAAAAGAAGTCAGCTCTCCCAAAGGCTGGACCTAGCTTTCTGGCAAGCAGATGCTGCTCCAGCATCGAGGCATAATTCATCAGGAGAACCACAACTGTTTAGGTCAACAACTCCCAAAATCCACAACCTAGTGGTTGCAGAAGCTGGGGATTCTGGGAGCTGAAGTCCAAAAACCTGAAAGATCAAACCGTGAGAAACGCTTGTCCTGTTGCATCCATACCTGTTGTACCCGAAATCCCACAACACTGGTGCCAGTCCTTCCCAAACTGGCTTCCTAAATGTTATAACCTTGCACCCCTCTGATGATTTTGGGTCCCCCTTCTGTGGCTCTTCTCCAGTTCTGTCGTATTCTTTTCAGGCTGCAGGAACCACAGGTGACAAAATTCGCCCGAAAAGACAGTGATGCTAAGAAAAGTGGAAGGCAGCAGGAATAGAAGAAGACCCAAAAGAGATAGATGGACTCAGTAAAGAACCACAACCTGCAAGAACTGAGCGAGGCTGTTAATGACAGGACCTTTAGCAGATCATTAATTTATATGGTCGCCATAAACCAGAAATGACTCAATGGCACCTAACAACAGCAAGAGAGGCGCACGCTGTAGTATAAGCGGGGCCACAATTTAGAGCGATGCAAGTCCACTGTGATAACCACGGCTTGATTCTGAATGCAGGGAATCTTCCTAATACACACAATCCAGTTCCTCATCTCAGAGCAGAAACAGAAGGGAACACATGCGGGTGTTGGAGAGACGCCATTAAGGGAGTCTTTCGGTTTTGTAAATCCAGACTTCAAAGCTGAAAAGACTTCTCCTGAAGGAGAGAGAAGCTCCTGGCCTGACATGCAAGAGGCTTTTCATCCATTTATCCTTTTTCTAATCAATGGCTGTCTATAATAATCTGGTTTTTCGGCCGCAGAATTCTGCTACCTTTGTAACTCAGACTTTGCTCATCTCCCAATGCAAAGGGATAAGCACTGAAACTAGCAACTCCACGATGCTCTATCCGGACATGCACATTTTTGCCATATCCCACACAGGCACATAGGCATGTCTGTATGAACCACACTGAGATGCATCCAATACTTTTCCTACCCAGTGGTGACAGGTCCCACTTTACCTTTTAAATCTTACTGCCCTAACACAGGCAGTCCAAACCCAAGCGACAGGCGCCGCCTGGACTCTGAAATGTTGGGATGTGATTCTCCCTGTACTCACCTTCCGCTTGTTTCCCTATCACAATGTGGAAGTCCCACAAAAGCCAAGGAATGGAAAATCAGCTGCAGGATCTTCTCTGCTGCACCCATTCCCCCTCAAACTATGTCCTCTCCAGTTTTGGGCAGGAGGCTAGTTAAAAAACCGCAGGCACCCTCTTTTAATTCAGAAGTTTG